CAGTGGATGACCTTGATATTTTCGATGCTTGACCAAGTTCTAAGTGCTCCAGAGAGGCTGCTCCAGCTGCCTTCATGGCCATTGGAACAAATTGTTCTCATCTGCCCTTTCTGCTGGGGGAAGTCTCCCTGTGCTTGAAGTAGACATCCCCCTAACTCACAAACAGGTTTGAGGCCTGTCAGTTACCCTCACTTTGGTTTAACCCATCAGCTGAGATGGTTTACTGGGATGTGCCCACTGCTCATGCTATAGCTTCATGGAGTGCCAGGTAAATGCCCAAAGTGGATGAGCAACACTGAGAAGGGCTTGGCGAGCCCTCACACCAGCTGGTCCTCCTGGAACATCCCCAGGCATGAGGCATGAGGCAAAGGAGGGAAATACTGTAAGCAAAAAAGAAAGTAGTTTCTTTTTTTTAAAATTAATTTATTTTGATTTATCAACAATCACTTCCATAAGCTTTTGAATTCAAAATTTTTCTCCCCCTCCTTCTCTGCCTTCCTTCCCAAGATGGCGCGCAATCTGATACAGGCTATACATATACATTCCTATTAAACATATTTTCACATTAGTGATGTTGTAAGGAAGAATTAGAACCAATAGGAGGAACCACCAGAAAGAGGAAACAAAACAAAACAGAAGAAAAAAAGAGCAAATAGTATGCTTCGATCTGCATTCAAACTCCATAGTTCTTTCTTTGGATGCGGATAGCATTTTCCATTATTAGACCTTTGGAGATGGTCTTGCATTGCGGAGAAGGGCTAAGTCTATCAACATTAGTCATCACACAATGCTGCTGTTACTGTGTACAACATTCTCCTGGTTCTGCTCACTTCACTCAGCATCAGTCCATACAAGTCTTTCCAGGTTTTTCTGAAGTCTGCCTGCTCATCATTTCTTATAGCACAATAGTATTTCATTACATTCATGTAAGTGCTTTCTTTTTTTAAAAAAAAAAAAAGTATCCGGCAGTCCTATGAGAAAGGCATTATATACACAGGTCAAAGCGGGAATATCTCAAAAAGACTTAATAGTGGAAGGACGTGTAGAGAGAAAAACAGCTGAGAAATTTCATCAGAGCAATTAGAGGCAATTCCCAAAGAACAATTAGGGTTTTATTCCATGCCAAGCACAGATTATTCTCCACAGTGTATTTTCCAGGGCTCTTTTTTTCTAGTCCTCTTTTAAATGATTCACCATTTCCCTTGAAGGGCTCCATCTGACAATTTTTACTTGGTGCAATTGATCAAGGTAAACTGTCCCCCCACCCCTTTCTCTTCATGGCTGCCTAAGGTTCTATACGACCTCACTTTAGTCTGTGCAGATCCTCTCAGGAGCTGGTATGGTACCTCTAGACCTTGAGGTGTTACGTGGAAAGTATCTTTGTGGGTTTTTTTTTTTAGTTCTATCCTTTCCGTTGCCAAGAAGAGTGGCTTGAGTGAAATACAGGCATTTAGCCTGTAAAGATCTCCCCTCTACCCTAGTAGGACAGAAACTCTTTGAGGGCAGAGACTATTTAATGTTTATCCGGGTATCTTCACCACTTAGCCCAGTGACTTTCAGAGGGTAGGTGTGGAATGTTTGTTGACTTAATTGAACAGCTGTTAGAACTCAGCCATATAGCCAACGAACTTGATTCCCCCTTATTTTCTAGCTATGATAATAAGACTTTCCTTCTGCCAGTTCAGCTTGGGAGCTTAATTCAAATGTTTATGCATGCCAGCAATACACTAGGCAATCCAATCAAACAAGCATTTATTATGTGTAAGGCACTGTGCATACAAAGACAAACAACAACAAAAATAGTTCCTATCCTGTGCTTACAATCCTTTGGTAGGGGGAGATACTGCACATGGAAACATGATCATTTGAGTATGGAGTAAACTCTAAGGAAAGATTTCCCAATGGAAATGGTACAAGAACTGAGCCTTGAACAAAGGGAGACGGGAGGCCACAGAAGACCATCTAGGAAAAGCAGAGGCAGGAGGTTGAGTTTTAGGGTTTAGGGAAACACCAGTAGGCCAGTTTGGCTGGTCCACAAAGTGCATAAAAGGGAGTGATGTGTAATAAGCCCGGAAAGATAGGCTGGAGCCAAATTATGAAGCACTTTAAACAACGGACAGAGAATGAAGTTTACCCTTGTTAGTGCCTGGGGCTCTGCTAAGCTCCTTTGTTGTGACTGACCTGAGGAAAGGTCAGAATTCATTGGTGTTATTGAAAAAGGATATCCTACGTTGTTCTCTCAGGTTTTAAACACCCCATTTCTCTGTGCCAATAGAACCAACAAATATTGGTAAGATCAGTTCTGGGTTTGGAGGCAATTCATTTTCTTCACTTTTGCTTCAAGAGCTACATGCACAGTCCTAAAAATCCCTAATGCAACCTCAGAACCTGTTGTTGGCCATGCTAAATTCCTGCTACTGTCAGTGATCAGCTGTCCTTCTACATGAGAACCATTTTGATTTTCATTCTGCATCCACTAATGAACCTGCCAGTTAATGGGGCATAATTTCTTTGCCTCATTCTACTTCCTAATTTAGATATCAAAAAATGGAACATTATTATACCCCATTTGTTTCATGAAGAAGAAGCAGCCAGGCATGGTACAGTGGTCTCTAGGGTGGGGGCCCTGCTTGTGGCAAGACCCCAAAGGTGTGTGATCAATCAATTAGAGTGGGAAGATGAGTTGCATACCATCCTCTCCAGAGAGTCACTCACTGGGCTTATTTTCCAACACACTTACACTGTCCCCTTCACTTACTATAGCTCAAAAGCCCCCATTCTACACCCTTCTGCCCAACCCCCTCCCTTTTTTCAGTCAGGTGTTAGTCTCTCAGGGCAATTACAGCCTAACCTTAACTCAGATACCCACAGTAGCAACTTTGCAGGTACCACTAGGAAAATCTACTCACTCCTCCCATCCTGAACATACCTGCCAAGAAAACAAAAAGTTTTATATAGATTTGGGTGCATGGTCAAAAAAGAGAGCATAGTGGATAGAACCAGCTTTGAGTCCTATTTTGGACAATAGCGGCTTGGCTATGTGACCCTGGACAAGTCATTCAACCTCAGTGCTAAGCAACTCTCTAAGACTAAATTGTAGAAAAATGATGATCTGCATTGGTGGGAGTTTGCTCATCCAGGGATTCCCTAGATCAGTGAAATCACAGGTCAGCCCACATCCCTAGGCTCATGAAAGGAGAAACCAATCATGACTACACACCATGTTTCCTATATGTCCTTGTCCTAGTTCAAACCCCTAAAAGGGAGGCAGTGCATTGGGAGACATTACTAGATTAAACCTCGATACAGGACACGAGCTGGAGAATCAGCCCTTGGATAATGGAAACGACTTGGACAAACCTCATTATGCCTGGAGCCAAGAGGGCCTCGTGCTGGCAGCATCCATCCAGCCTCCCCAGCTCCCTCTTCCCTTTCCTACAGTGCACCTTTTCTTCATCAAATGAAGCCATTAGATTGATCTGACAGGGACACACATTCATTCTTTTGGAATCTTTATTCCAGGGGCCCATCAGCTATCTCCACGCTCCTGCGATCACAGCTTGTTTGAATTGCTTTCCAAGCCCTTCAGATAGCTGGGAGGTGCACAGGCAGCCTTGTCTTCTAAGCCCTAGGGGCAGCCATGGTGGGAGCTCTGAAAGCCCAAATTCATTTAAACCCGTGAGGCTAGGAGGAGGAGAAGGTACTGAAAGGTGAGACATCCCAAACAAGACCCTCAATTTCTGGTACTCTAGACCTTTTGGAAAGAGTGCAAGAGGACAGGTTGGTTCTAGGGCAAAGGACTTCTTGTATACAGTTGGGGAAAAGAAAAAAGATTCCCTAAACTTTTAGGATGTATTTTAAAGAACCAGCTGCTAAAAAATTTAGAAATGGAGAGAACTTTAAAAAAGGTTAATTAGAAAACTCAGTTGCCATGGTGGCTCTTCCTCTGTTGGGCCTCAGGTATGCCTTTTCATGACCAATTTTGGTTGGTTGGGTCAGGCATCCCTTTAGACTGGAAGCTCCACAAAAGTGGGAGTAGTGGGTCTTCTCTGGAGTCTGTGTGGTGAGCTCAGGGGGCGCTAAAGTCACCGGGCCAGGCTTCAGGTCTTGCCACTTACTTGTGTGACCACGGGCAAGTCTCAGAACTTTTCAGATCCTCAGTTTCCTCCTCTATCAAATAAATGTTCTCATACGTCAAATGCACACTAAGTGGAGGTGCCTCAGTTTTGCAGATTTCGGGGTCCTACAGCTAGAGCGTGAAGACACCACCCGGACGCTCATAAAGGGAAAGGGACTCAGGTGCTTAGATCCAGAGCCACAAGGGACCTTAAGGTCATCCGATGCAACTCCCTCACTTGAGAGACACGGAAACAGGCCAAGGGAGGTGGAAATAACTTGCCCAAGGTCACAGAGGCCACAAGTAGCAGAGCTGGGATTTGAACTCAGGTGTTCTGATCACAAATTCAGTGCTCTTTCCCCTACATCATGCCATTTCCCAGAGGGAAGACCTGAATTTCATATTCTGCATCTATCCCCAGGTCCCACAACTGGTAAACATTTGGGTCTCGGCTCCAACTCATGTCTCTTGCCTCCATGACCAGTGATGTGCGATACCACTCGGCCGCTACGCATGTTCTCGAAATGACTTACTCAACCGTAGGATTGTTTTTCTCTGGTTGGAAGTGTGGAGTAGCAGGACCCAAGGTTCTTCTCTAATGCTCTGGAGACAAAGAGAAGAAAACAAAGTGTCTTCACACAGTTCCTGTGGCCTCACCAAGAACCAATCCTGTTCCTAAGGCAACCATGAAGAGGAAGGGGCCCAGGCTCACCAGTGTCCAAGTAGATGGGACCTGTTTGGCTCCTCTCAAGACATCCTCTGAGCCAGGGCCCCGGTGCACAACCAGAATGTCCACGGATGGTTCTAGGTAGGAAAGGAAGTTTTTGTTTGCTAACTGACGCCGATGCTAGAGGAAAGAAAGAGGCAGCTCTGGAGAGGAGAGTGAACTCAAAGCAAACGTCTTTATTGTACACAGTACAGAATGTAATGCAGCTTGGCAGGATGCAAATGGCCCTGCTCAGGGGAAAGGCTTCCAAACCAATTCTCAGATTCAACCCTTTCTGCCCTGGAGACTTTCTCCACTCTGGAAAAGAACCTAAGGCCATCCAGGAGGTCAGTGAGTCTGGTTCCTGGGAAGGCCACACTGATGCCACCATCCTATGCCTTGGGAGGAGAGCTCAGGCTACAAAGAATTAGCGTCACCCTGACTAAAACAGAAGAAACCCATCCGAATGAATCCTAAACCAGTGAAAGTAAAAAGAAAGGAAGAAAAATCCTATACAGCATTTACAACAAATAAATTTTTAGCCAGCTTTTTTTTTTTGGGGGGGGAGGGGGGAATAAAATATGCATATATGTATAGAATACGTGTAGGTTAGAGAGCTATAATTACACCGTCTGGAACAGTTCTCTTGATTACAGTATGGTGCTAATTAGGCCAAGGTCACAGGTTCAATTTATATGGGCTAATTAGCTTTACGCAGAGAAACGTTCTGTCCCTAGCCATAGACTACACCCCTCATCCCAGTTGATGACCCAGCTCCCAAAGTGCTCTTGGGGATGAGGGGGACTATTTGAAACCATGTGGCTGGCCAAGCGTGGCCCATCACCCATCAATGGAAAAATAACTCAGAGCACATTTTATTGATAGTGAGTCAAAAGCGTCATCTTCACAGACAAAGCCTAATCCGTTCGATCTAATTACATGAGATGGCCGGGGGAGCTGAGACTAACACCTCAGATTACGGCAAGAGAGCACCGCCTAATAACCGATGTTTGCCCTAACTAGGCTTCAATGTCTCTTCTGAGCCTCGTTCGGTTGCTGACTCACTGACCAAGAAAAAAAATCGATGAATGGACCAGACTGATATAAAAGGGAGACATGGCGGGGAATGGTACTATTTAACCTGTCGGCATCACACGCATGTCTCAAACCCCAGGAATCCTATATGCAGGGTTGATGGACCAAGGTAAGGAAGAAGAATGAAATGGAAGTCATCAGCTATATCCATAGAAATAACCTCAAAGGCTCCCACACTGCGACCAGGTTCCAAATTGACATGAAATGCATTATGTACATATACTTTCCAGAGAGAATATGTCAGTGAATATGGGTAACTATACACAGAAGAGCTAGGAAGAGTATCCATGCTGCCCCGTAAGCTTCCAGAATGTACAACACAGGTGCGAATGTTCCATCAGGGTAGCGGGCACAAAAAGCATAACGCAGACGGCAGACAGGCTTCGGGCCTGTCTCTGGTGGACCCCGAGCAAAGCCCTTTTCAAGCTGCTGCAGCATCTTGGAAAGGTCAGCACAGCCCTGTCTAAGGAGAGCGGCGCTGAGCTTCCGAGAGAGAGGATTTTTGCTTTAGATACCAAAACTACAAAAACCAGTTTTCAGAAACTGCCTTGCCAAAACAACCATTCCCCCCACCCCACTCCCAAATTCCAAATCAAAAGCAAAACCAAATACTGTCAAGAGTGTTAATCACCCTTCTAAAAGTAATGCCATCCCCAGCAGAGCCTGGTGATCGGAAAGAGGACGAAGGCAGCTCGTTCCACCGGTGACGGGAGAGGGGAGAGGCTCCTAGGGAGAGTCGAGGGCGTAGGACCTGAGAGCCATCAAGTGGATAGTGACACTGTCCTAACTTTGCCTCCTCTTTCTTGGCCAAGAGAAAACAGGTTGAGTCTTCATATCCAGCTGAAGTCTTGTAGCTTTGAAACCCAGGGCTATGGAGTTCCGAGTCTTTGTGATTGGAGCCTCCCTCCCCAACTGAGCCCAGCTGGTTTTCGATCAGTGCACAATTTCTTTTTCAACTCACTGTGCAAATTAGAGCTACTTGAGTGGAACGGGAAAGTACCTATGAGCCTCAATCAATGCAAAGCGATTGTCACGACAACTTTCTCCTGCCACAGTCTCCTCAAGTCCATGAGGGCCATCTGTCCCCAACATTTTGCTTTGCATACACTGACCAGGATGAAGTGGTTGACATAAACTCAAACTCCACTGGCATCCTCTTCTCCCCGACTTCTTTAGGGTGACAGCTGAGGCTCCAGCCACACTTGGTGGCTCCTTCCTGTCCCTACTTCCCTGGCTAGGATCCTTCCTCCAAGGGTGCCAATCCAGGCTGAGGCCCACCAGAATAATCAGGGGCAAGCTTTGGGAATGGCAGGAAAAAAAACCCCCAAAACAACCAATAATAATAATATTAATAATAATAATAATAATAATAATCAAAGAAAATCACTGCCTTCATTTGGCTGAATGCGAACTGCTAAATCTGGCACTGGAGCTTCGGACTCAGCCGCTCAGTAAGCAAAGCCTTCTGCATAGGGGAGGCTGGGGCAGCGATCCATGTCGAGGAGGTAAGCGGGGTTGTCCTCAAAGTGAGTCAGGGGTAAGGTCTCCTCCTCGTTCAGGGGGCAGTCGGACTCAGCCTTCAAGAAGGGACGCTGATTGTCTGGAAAGGCCATGGAGAAGAGAGCGTCCGGATCGCAGACAAATTTGTAGACGTACCGCTCGCCGGCCACCTGAGGGAAGAAACATGTCATCCGTCTGTAGGCCTGAACAGCCCATGAAGGAAGGAAGGTGTGGGTGGGGGTGGTGTGGTTCTCTGGGAGCCACCAGGGAAAGGGCAGCATCTACAGTGTCCAGACTGACCCCACTACATCTCACCTTCTGCTCCGTCTTGACATCTCTCCCTAGCCTTTACCCTTTTAATAAAGACCACCACTTTTTCCTTTCATTGTTTGCCTTTGAGGGTCTCGGCCTACCCACACCCTCTGGCAGGTTAAAAGTGACTCTGTTCCACTGTTCTCTAAAGAACATGTCAGTGTACAACCTAATAAAAAACGGTTTTGCTTCAAGCGATGCCACCCATCTTTTCAGAACAGAGGGGACTTGGGGGGCCAAGATGGAGACACCTGACGGTTTTACAGCTGACCTCAAACTCAGGCTTCACGGGATGGGCTTAAGATTTTGAAATGCTCTGAATCCCCAGATCAGAGCACCTGTGCCCAATGGAAGGCCTGAGACACATTCCAAGGTAAAAGAAAAATGATCTTACGATCACTGGATATTCTGCATTCCCCAGGCCACGGCTTCCTTATGCTAAAGTTAGACAATTGAGAAACTACCATAAAGATTTCTGAGTAATGTAGTAGCATCCCAGACTCTTGCCTATTCTGGTTGGATAATGAATGAGCCAAGTTCTTGAGGATTTCCCCTCTACTCTCTCCTTAGCATCTCCAAGGGGTGTGGAGACAGAGAGACTTTTGACTCAGCTGAAAGCTTAGAGAAGACTAGGTGGGACAGATGGGAGGCTAAAACCATAAAACTGCCATTTCCCATCATCTATAGACTTTAGTTCTTCAGCCTAACCATCATGGAGTAATGAAAGTTGTCCCACTCAATGTGACACATTCCAGTGTGCACTCACTTTATTGGCCGGCTCTAAAAAAGTCTCCAACGGGGGCGGGGGGGATGGGGGACGGACATAGCTTTGCTTCCAGAGCCTCGATTTGAGAAATTTGTTTATTACAATGGCCAGACAGAAACATGATTCTGATAATTTCAGAAGCTCCTAATTGAAAAGTAAAGTGCCACAGTCCCTAGTTCTGGAAGATGACAAGTAGGATCTGTGAACATGGTCAGCTATGCCCAGCGCTCTCTGGGGCACAAGCAGCATTACAAAACCTGAGGGCTTGACATCTGTGATGGGCTCCTCTAAGATACTGGCTGACTCTTAGAAAAGAGTCTTAAGGAATGAAGGTGACACATTAATGATCAGTTCAATCTGTCTTGAAATCGTCATACTTCTATTTCCACTTATCACCTCTAAAACAAATGGTTCTAACTGACGTGTGCACCAACCCTTGGGCCTCATCTACCTTTTTAAAGCTCCTGCTTACTCCTGGTCCACATGACCTGTGACAGCCACTAACCACAAACTGATTTCACTGTCAGAGATCAAGTGCTTTCTTAGAAAATTTAGGAGTCTGTAAATGGGAATAGCTCCTGTCTATTTACCCAAGTCAATGGGTCTCCTAACGGCCATGGCTTGACTGCCCCCAAGGACAGAGGCCTCCCTCCACCATTATTGCAGGGAAAGGAAAAGGGCATTAGCCTCCTATAGTCTCTGAACCATCAGACCTGGTGGAAGCAGTAACAAGGTTGGGAAGAGAAGGAGAGAACATTGGGATTGCTCCTCTTCTTCACGTCTGCCCTCTACTCCCCTTCCCATCATACCAAGCAGGGGCTGACAGAATGTTTTCAAGATGCACTCACAATAGGGTTTAGGGACTGGACCTGTGATTTCATTGGGTTGGCCAATGTTCTGGTGAGAAAACTCCTCCTATCAATGTAGATTAGCACCTTTTCCACAGCTGAGAGTCTCAGACAGTTGTCTGGGGTCACACAGCCAGCAAGTATGAGAAATGGGCCTGTGACCCTGGCAGTGTGGCTTAGTGGGAAGAGGATCAGAGGTCAAAGGCATACTGTGGCATGATGCTCACTGGCTGTGTGACCTAAGGCAAGTTACCCAGGCTCTCTGAGCGGGAGGAGCACGGCAGGGGCAGTAAGCTCTCCATCAAGCACAACCACCCAAAATGCTGCAATATAAAACATCAGGAGTTCATAAATGTCTGCCTCCAAGGAGCAGCAAGATAATTAGAAGGGTCACTAATATCCTGTCAGTCTAATTTGCTATTTACTTTATTTTTGGTTTCTGAATTCTGACTCTCACTTGTCTCATTCAAGGAACTTCAATGGTTCCTTCCAAATCTGTTCTAACTCAGCCCTAAATCTCCTTTCTGGTTGGCATGTGTTTCCCTTTAAGAAACCTGTCAGTGGTGGGGACCTGGGACCAAGCAAGTATTGCCACATCCTAGACATCGCCTCAGTTCTAGGCTCTGCGACTCCAGGAAGAGCTTCTGGATTTTCCAGGAAATCTCAGCCTTCCTGGTTCATTCTGAATCACTGAGCTAATGCTCCCGCTCTCACAAGCTCCTGTTCTGGCTGGCATAAGCAGGCCCATTTCAGAAAAGTCATTTTGCAGTGAGTCCTTTCTTTTCCCCCAGGCATCCCGGGGGCCTCCCAGGTCCCTACCTTCTGCATGATGCCCTTTTCGTAATAATAGCGCAGAGAGCGGCTCAGCTTGTCATAATTCATTGCTGGTCGGTTCTTCTGGATGCCCCATCGTCGAGCAACCTGAGGAGAGAGGAAAGCAGAGGGTGACAAATGGACCCCACGGGCCTTACCCATGTTCTGCAGAGCTGGCCCTGGTGCTTGCGGCTTGGTTAGTGCCCCACCTTCCTGACCTGGTCACAAAAGGGCTCCAACTCTGCAGCCTAAATGCTGCCTAAATGTCGAGACTAAGCCCAAGAGGGGCTTTGAGGTAAAATGAGCACAAGCCCTTTAAGGCTGCAGCGGGCTCAGCTAATGTTTCAGCGGAAGCTGACATGCTTCTGTTCTTCCACGTATGAATTATTGACCAATGCCCAGAGCCATTAGCATGTTGCCGTTAAGTGCTGTGGTTTCTGTAGCAGTCAATAAGGAATAATTAGAATGGTCATCCCTGAAACATTAGAAACACACTAGTGAGTTGCTAATGGGCTAAGAGAACAAAAGTTCAATTCTAATAAGATTGGAGAGGGGCCGGGAGACATTTACTTATTGCAGCTCCCCCAGTGTAGGGGAATCAGATTGGTTTGAGTCTGCTGCCGTCCAATCCTAGGCTCCCAGGGGACTTTCAGAATGGGCCCGAAAGCTTGGAGCACCATTATCCATCTAATGAAAAATTAACAGGGCTTCCCAAACAGTGCCAAAGTGCATTAAATCCCACCCAGTCCACCTGAGGCACAGTGATGGAGAGATGTAATCTGAGGCCTGAGCAGACAAACTAAAGCAAACAGCCAGGAAGCCTTTCCAATGGCTTGATGGACTAGCAGGCTGAGCCATTTTTGATCTCACACGGAGATACAGGGAGAGACACCGAACCCTCACAAACACTCAGCACTTCAGCTTTTTCTTAAAAGGATCCTCCCTATTGGAGTCATGGAGAATAAACCATCCCCAAGACACCCACTGGCAGAGCTCCCCAAGGTGATCCATCCAGGAGCTCTCACTTCTTTAGGCACATTTTAGAAACAATTTCTGCACAAAATAATTGCTGATTGATCAGTTGCAAATCTTTGTGCTTTTACAAACTCAATGTTAAACATGTGGTGTAGGTAGGGAGAGAACCAAAGGAAATCAGGCCTGGACGCGATCTATCCTGTGCATGTCCTGCATACGGCGCTAAGGCTCTGTGCTAGGGAGACAAAGACAAAAACAACCCATCCTTGCCCTCAAGGAGCCTGCATTCTACTGGGCAGCGAGGAAGGAATCTGCCTTGGTTATCATCGACAGTTTCTCCATTCCTATTCAGTATATGAAAATGAATTGTAAAAGCATACTAGCAATAATCCCACAGCGAAAAAAAAATGTGCACAGAAGTCAATGTGGTACCCAGACCTCTACCATCCATAGAAAGGAAACTGTCTCAAGGCTCAAATTCAACAGCTCTTGAGGAATGAAGGTCTTCATTGCTGAATCTAAACTTTAATAGTTTCTTTTTCAAATATGGTAGAGGTCTGGGCACCAAACTGACTTACATGTACATGAAGGCACTGTCCAAGGTGCTGGGGCCATACAGATTTAAATGACACGAAGTCAGTACGCACATAAGTGATTTCATTTTAGGTGAAGAAAAAGCATCACCCTAATTTTAGCCTTAATTACCTGTTATGGCCTGTGTTGTACTACTCAGATATGAATTCAACATAAAGGTCAAATAGTCAAACAGCTTAAGAAAATTAGAAAAAAAAATCAGATGCTACAGAATGGAAACTCTTCATTCCATTAATGGCTCCGTGATCTAATTAACATGGGAGCTTGCTCCAGCACTGCCCCTACTCTATTCCCTCCTGTCTTCTCATCCTAGGGGTATCGTGCCCACGCCCGCCCATCAGTCCTCCAGATCTCTTCGGGAGGCTGAGGGCACACCAGGAGCCCTCTTCCCTACCTATGGCTATTAGCATGCCCATACACTTGTGGGCTCTTTTGTGTTTCCTCTACAGGCCTGGTCTCCCTCCTTTTCTGATCACAGTAGCTTCTACTAAGCTTCTTATGCTACAGCCAGCATATGCCCAACATGTGTCTCCACAGCCTGGTCATGGCAGCCCTCGGCATCTACTGTCCACGATGCACCGGCATATTGGGAGGCCCTCCTCAGGGGCTAGCCACTAAGAGATGAATTCTTTGGTGAAGGCAACCCATGGAGAAGAAAAGATATAAATGAAAAAAATCCAAAAGGAACTAGAGGGAGAAGGGGCAGTAACTAAGACACAAAATGGTCTCTTTCCCGTCCTAGTGTACAGTTTGGTGGACATGCTCGACTATGATGGAGTCTACTTGCCCGCCCAGCCCCCAGGATGCACGCGCTCTCAGCACATTCCGTAGCTCCACGGCTCAGCTCTCCCCCTGGCTTCACTCACAGAGGCAGAACATTGGGAAGAGCTCCTGGGAGTGCCTGCCCTGATCTCAGGCTGCTCTGGTAGCCATAGAGACGAGTCCTCGTTCAGCACCCACCCGCGCCTGGCTGAGCCCACTCAAGAGCTCATTCCTTGGCGCTGCCTGGCACACAGCACATCCTACACAGAGGGCTGCAGGCTCAGCTGCTGGGGGAGCCAGCAGTACAGAGAGAAGCCTACCATGCTTGTGACTAGGGCCACCTGAAGGCCCACTTCCTACCTGGGTGACTCTGGGCTCGTCCCTTAAACCCTCTGGGCCTCAATATCTTCTGTGGCTGGATGACCTCAAAGGTTTCTTCCAGTTCTAAATCCGTGACCCAGGTGGGCTCAACTATTCAGGCTCTACGGGGTCAGACACGTGACCGGGTCCTCTTTAGGATGACCTAGGGACCAGTTCTTTCCAAGGAAGGTTCTTTCTAAACATTCCCATCACATTCACCCAAGGGAGGGGGAAGGGCACGAGACAGGCACTGGAAAGTTGGCTATGAGCTTTAGACAGGACCAATTTATTGCGTGACCTTGGCCAAGTCACTGAACCTAGTTCCCTCATCTTTAAGAGGAAGGGGCTGGACAAGGGATCACTAAGGTCCCTTCTGGCTCTACGGTCTGTGAATCAAATCAGTCATCTGCCACATGTTCTCCCAACCCTTCTCCCCCACCCCCAATATTCATTAATGCAGATTCACAGTTAAAATGGTTCCAGATTAAAGTAGAGTCTGTCATAATTGAGAGGGTGCTAAGCTGGATGACTATCAAAAGACATTTGATTAGGGGGACCGCCATTTCCCTGCACAGTGTAATGGATATTGTGGCTAATTACCCAGCGTGCACCACTCAGCTCCGCAGCTGCCTACAATTACGTCCCCAACGGCTTTTTCCTTGGCTTCACCCTTCAAACTACTCATGAAATGTCTCCTTACAGCGATTCCAAGGTGTTACTTAGAAAACCCAACTTTGTCCTGGGACTACGTAGAGTAGGACCCCCACCCACCTGGGGGATTTATAAAGGAACGTTCTAGAGGGCAGGAGAAGTCATTAGGGGAACCAAATCCAGACATGGATGAATGGGAAAAGGACACGAAGAGGCGACACCGAGTTGGGGGTAGGTGGAAGAAGAAAAGATGATTAGTTCAAGGAGGTTTAAGGGTCCAGCACCATGGGCTGCACACAGTAGGTGCTTAAGACACCAGGACTAATTCCCTCCCTTATGTCTTGGCCACATGGTCCCGTTAGTTCTCCAGAGGACAGTTGCCTTATTAAATTAGAAAGCTGGTCTGGTCTTATGGCTCCCCCTCTTCCTTGCTGACCAGAGGGCAGATTCCATCCTCAGTGGTACGGAGGCTCAGAGCCCCATGCACCTGCTCCTACAGAGTCTGCTTAGGTCTGAGCCTGCTGTAATAAAAGGGCCACCCACAGGACAATGTGGGTCCCAGTAAGGTTTGCTGAAGTCAAGGCCCCAGGCTCTCCCCTCGCTTAGCTGTGTCTGTGGGGCTGAGGGGACACAGGGCACACAGTTTTAGAGCTAAGTGAGGGATCTGTGAGCCATCAGCCACCCCCTTTTTTCTCTCTCTCCACCAGAACCCTAATGCAACTTATGTAACTTAACCATCATCCTTGAATCACCCCTCTGGCTCTGGAGCTGGGTTGGTCTTGATGGAAACAGAATGACTCATTCTATCTCTTGATAACAGAGGTTAGGATAACCAGGGGAGTCTTCTTCAGAGCTGTGGCTTTCCAGGGAAGCACGCTGTGTCGTCCCTAACCAGGACTCAATGACTTCAGGCCCTAAGAATCTGCTTTCCAATATCTTACAGTCACGGACTGAAGAAAGTCCAAATACATTGGCCCACACAACGGACACAACTGGGCGTCAGTCGTCTCGGCCTCATTTCTTGTTACTCTCCGGCCTGGGCTTTCCGCGCCCACCAGAGAGACTGCACCTTCCTCCTCTCTGCCTACAACATGCCTCACACTTTCCTACCACTAAGGCCTCTGCGCTGGCCATCCCTTCCTTTTCTTGATAGCCAAGCCCATTCTTAAAGCCCAACTTGATCCATCTCTTACATGAAGTCTTCCCTTAATCCCAACAGTCAACGGGTTCCCCTTGAACCTCATTAATGAACTTGGGTCACACTGTGTGGGGGTAATCTGCCTGTGACTCTTCCTTACTCTTACGACTCCTTAGAGCTCCATGAAGTCTGGGATTGTATTTTATCGAAATTTTCTAACTTTCTGACTGCCTGACATAGCATCCTCCATGCAGCAAGTGCTCAGCACTTGCTGAGCTGAATTAATTTCCATGCCAGATTTTTTCTATTAAGGTGCTAAAGTTGTGTTCTATCTTTCTACTATTCTAGCCTAGCCCAGTGAATGGGCCACACAGCCCTCAGATAAAGAACAGAGAACACTTCTATTTCTTCTGCCCAATAGCCCAGTTTCTCTTTTCTCTTTTTACCAAAACTTTTCTATACTTCAGAATAGCTGGAAGACAAAAGCTGGCCTTTCTGGATGATGCTGGATCCAAAGCCCAGCCTGATTTCTTGATTCACATAGTACTCAGGAAAGGGGAGCAGAACTGCAAGCCCTTTCCTTCCTCATTAAGAGCTCAGAGTCTATTTTGGGGGCAAGAGGAAATGGGAGCGGTTCCATGTGGAGGCCTTTATGGCCAGAGTTTGAATAAACAGCAAAGAGAATGTGTTATTTACAATGGAGGTTTGGGTTATCTGCAAACCATTCTGATGTCACAAACCATCCCGAGGCTCAAGTCTACATGACTGACTGGACAGCTTTGCCATCCACTGCCTCTTGAGGCCAGGCTTGCCCCTGACAAGCAGGGCTTAGACAAAAATGGTGCCTCCCACATGGGGCTGCCAAGTGGGGAAGAGAAACGGAGCAAAGATGGGCTTCTACCCCCATGGGCTTCTAACACCAGACGTGGGGGGGTCTCAACAGGAAGAGCAGAGCCAGAGGAAAAACAAGCCTCCTTGAAGCCTTTTGGTAGAGACACCAAGTCTCACTGGGAACCCTCTAGAAAGCACTCTATTACCATCCCAAGGTGGCCTCTGAGACGAGATCTCTGTGGTCAAGAACTGAGCCCAGCTGGGAAGGGCAGGAAGGTGAGCAAACCTCCAAATGTAGAAACAACAGAGGAAGACAGAATAAATTCAACAACCAGCCTATCTGGCTGATGAAACTCATACCTCTTCTGGTTCTATCAGCTTGAACTCCATGCCTCGACCTGTCCAGGCAATGAAGTGGGCGTTGGCTGGGTCATCGAGGAGAGTGACCAGGAACTGCCACAGCTGCAGGGAGCCTCGTCTCTGGTAAGGGGGCCCTTCCCGATACATGGTGGGCTCCTGTTTGACTTTGCCTGCTTGGACAAAGAGATGTGTGTAGCTTGGCCATTCTTGTTTGACCTCCCTCCCTCCCTCCCTTCATTGGCTTACCCTCCAGCCTTTCTGGTACAACACACGTATCATCAAAATACAATCGAGGATCTTTGTCACATGAAAAACCTGGTTGGGAGATTCAGAGAAAAGGGGAACGTTGGTTAAAGATCTGGATTTATTTCTCAATTAGATCTTAGTTCTGAAGGCTGAAACAAGATACAATCTCCTCATATGGTGCCGCTGCATCTAGGCTCAGAGAGACTTTGAGGGTTTTCTAAAGACTTCTGCCTTCATGTTCTGAAAGGGCTGATTGAACCGCAGTCCCCAGATGGAATCAATGTTTGCTGTAAGACTGACAGGGCTTGTGGGGAGGGAGATGGGAGTTAACTACACATTTCCTCACACCTTACTTAGAAATTCAGCAGGGATCAAGCGTGACTGCCGCCCCAACACCTACGACTCCGCTGTGATCTGAAGAGGCCTGCCTGAAGATAGCTACCACACACCTAGGACCCTGCTAGCCTCTTCCTGGGCAAGTGCTAGTTTCAACCTTTCTGATAACTCTGCTTAAAGAAAATCAGCATCACAAATCTCACATGGTGGGCTTGTCAAACAAAATGTTTTTCTACAGCACCCCAAAAATGAGAATCAAGAAAAGGTCCGTCCAAGAAAAAGCCACCAAAATGGCTGGAGGCCTGTAGAAAGGCATTTGGAAGTGAATAAGAATGAGCCTGGGGGACCCTGGTGACCAGATGTATGGCTGAGGAACAGCAAGCCCAGACGGATAAATGACTTGCCCAGGGTCACGTATCTCTCTAAAGAAATTGAAAAAGATGACAATTAGGTGGCTCTGGAGTCAGGAGGACCCAAGTTCAAATCTGGCCTCAGACATGTACTAGCTGTGTGACCCAGGGCAAGTCACTTAACTCCGATTACCTCCAAAAAAGAAAAAAAGAGAAAGAATGAAAAGCTTTTCCAAGAAAGGTGGAAAATTATGGGAGAAAAAGGAAAGGCTAAGAAGGAGGATCTGAAATTCCAGGGCCTTGGAATTCTCTTTAGGATCATGATGGGGCACCCTAACCTATCCCCAGCATTTCCAGGGAAGATCAGAGGCACAAATATGCAAAGGATAGCCCACTTCCTAGGTGTGAGAAACCTCTCCCCTGATGAAGACTGTGACCCTCCTGCATTCTGAAACACCAAGCCTGGGTGACCTTCAGAAGGTACAAAGAGGAGAGACTTGCTGACATTTTCACATGGCTGCCAAGTGTCAGAAGTAGAGTGTGCATGCTGCAGATCCTTCTGGCTCCAGGCCTAACTGAACTCCATCCCCTCTGACGGCATCAGTAGCTGAAAAGAAGCTGCGAACCCCTCCAAGAGATGCCTCCATGGCATCTGCCTCCTCGAGGACAACCACTGCCCGGAGGGGTGGGGACGCCACACCCCCAAAACACGGAATGTGGTGGCACCTTTGGCTGGGGCAGCACCAGCCCTGGAAGAAGGGAAAGCGGAAGTGATGGGGGGGGGAACAGGGAGAGGGGGGCAGCCAATGCCCTCTCAAAAAAACGAGGGTCATTGAAGCGTCTTAAAAAAACAGAGGCAAATAACAGAAGGAAAACTAAGAGAAGGCCAGACAAGCAGGAGAGCCAGAATTTATTATCTAATAAAAAGCAAAGCCAGACGTCCGTAAGACTTGTAGCTTCATGTACAATCCTCTTTTTCTGCTCTACTGTGTATATGGAAATGTCCATCCTATTGAGTCTCAGAATAAAGATAAAAATTAAAGTGGGGGGGAAAGGATAGAAGCACAGCCATCCTTTAAGGAGAATGAGCATTTTAAGAAAAACCCTTCCCAATGCCTAAAGTTGTTTTGACCCCATGGTTCCAGAGGTTAAGATCTCTCTCAACTTTGGTCACTGAAGCAATGTGTTGTCATGAAAAGCAATCTGAGACAATCTTCTGTTTCTCCCCCTCATCCACTTAGAATGGACCAATACGAGTTTTTACCTTGTTTTAAAGAGGGGGTTGGGAGGTGGGGGGAACCCCAGATTCTGTGACACTGGAGCAAGACGACAGGAAAGCTGAGACCTGGTGTCTGAGCGAGGCATTCGGAGCACTGACCAGAGCAATCACCCGGTAAGTAATGCAAAGCTTCTGGAATTCCTCAGGGTGCTCTACATACAGGCCCACCCCTACAACGTGGAGTCCGTACAAGTCCACAGCACAAGCACCCTGCCAGTGGCTTTCCTGCGGCTCTCCCTCTGGAATGTCCATCTCCTTGCCCCCAGTCTTCTTCAGTCGGAGGTCTCTCTTCTGCATTTATACTCAGTATGAATACAAGGCTCCATTGAGGCAGCTCCTGGGGTGTTTAAAGAACTCAGACCTTGAGGGATGGGGACAGGCCTCTACATAACTGGTTTCATGGACAGAGCTGGAGGAAGGTAGGACTCTGGAAAGACAACGTAGATCTAGATTCCCTTTCTCTACCCTTCCCATGAACAAAAACGCCAGCAATCAACAAAACCTGCCCTTCTGGTGTGAGTACTCAGGAACTCTTGGAGCCTGAGGGCACCATTTTTCATTCCTAAATTTTCCTTATCTTTGGGATTGGGGGACACCTCCTCAGTATGTAGTATCATCGCTGAAGACAATGATATCCCTATTATTTAAGTATGTGAAAGGATCAATGCTGGTTGACAAAAGAATAACAATTTTCTAAAGTCTGTGAAATGAAAGAAAATGGCCTTAGAAACACACACATACACACTCATACAAACACATACACATTCATACACAAACACACATATACACTCATACAAACACACACACACACACACGTACACACTTCCGTACTGAACAGAAGCAATAAGGACTGAATCACAGAATCATAGTCTATCCCATACCTGGGAAAAAAAATCTCCATTACATATGTAATCATCGGTCATCGGCCTCTACTTACAGATCTCCAGTGGAGGCCAGGGGAAGGGAGAGGGGAACCTGCTGCTTCCCCAGGCATCCCAACATTCTCTTTCCCAGCTCTAAGGAAGATTCTCCCGATATCAAGCCTAGAAATCTGCCTCTTTACAAGCTTTACTCAGAGTTCCTGGTTTTTCCCTTTGGGGACAAAAAGAACAGGGCTTTCCCACACAACAGTGTAGCACCCCACCCTACCCCGGCAAATCTTTTCATTCCCAGTAGCTTCAATGGATTCTCATGTGGCCTGGACTCAAGGCCTTCCATCATCCTGAACATCTCCTCTGGCCACTACCCAGCTTATTAACATCATTTCTAAACCGATGGTCCAGGCGTGGTCTACCTAGGACCTCTCTTGTACCTCCTCGCTCCCGGCAGCCCACACCTCTGTAACACAGCCCAAGGGGCTACAACGGTACTTCTGTCTACCGTTGCAGCCTCTGGTCTCATATTGAGCTTCAAGTTCCCTGAAGCCTCCAGCTTTTTTCAAACAAACTACTCTCTGACCATGATGCCGCCATTTTGTACTTATGAAGTAGCTTCTTTGGAAGTTAATCCCTCTTGAGTTTCATCTTCTTGGATGTAGCCCAATGCTCGAGCCTATAAAGCTTTGTCTGGATCTTGACTTTCACGTCCAGTGTTTGCTCTCTGTTCCAGTGCTGGGTCATCTGCAAAGGTGCTGAGCATACCACACAGACCTTAATCCAAAGCATCACTAAGAAGGTTGAACAGCCCAGGGCCAGCCAGGCCCAGATGCTTGTACTGCTCTTTCCCATGCTGCCATCAAACCATCAATGACTGTTCTTTGAGTCCAGCCATTCACCCATCTCTAGGTCCCTCTAAACATGCTATCACTTAGCCCAAAACTCTCCATTTTTAGTTTGAGAATCTCATTAGATACTTTATCAAATGCTTTGCTAAAACCTACATCCATACCATTGCCCAGAATCTACCGACTTGGGAACCTTTCAAAAAAGGAAACAAGGCCTGTAATGACTTGGTTCTTGATAAGCCCATGCTCGAGCTTTGGAATCATCACATCCTTTTCTGGATGTCCACTAATCATTTCTTTGATAACCTACTTCAGAACTTTCCCATGAACCAATGTCAACCTTATTGCAAGACTCTCATTTTCCTCTCCCTTTTCTGAAAACTGGGACCTCTGCCAGAACTTCTCCCATTTTCCCCAATTTTTCATCTATCAATGATGATGGTTTGACATCCCATGTGCCAGCCCTTTCAACCCCCAAGGATGCAGTTCATCTGGGTCAGGTGACCGAAATTCATCAATGACAGTTAGGAATCATTACTAGAGAAGCTGCCATAAGCACTGCTGGGGGAATTTCCTTGCCATGGAGCTCCAGCCTAGATCACTATCCCTCCTTATTTGCTTTTTGTCTTGTCCTTTCTAGTCCAACAGTCCTTCTTCTTGGGTGAGAAAACAGAAACAGCCTAGAAATGAGCAGCTCAGCCCTTTCTCCATTGTTGGCGACGCGCAGCAAGCCAAGCCCTTCTCCTGTCCTCTTCTCTCCCCTCTCTGTCATCCTCAACCCCTGACACTCTTCCACGATATGCTTATTTCTGGATTTGTTCTGTTATCCACCTTTGTTTCCAGATGCTGCAGAAACAGACAGGACTAGGGCCAGGGCCTAGAGCTGAGATTGCACTGGCAATGGAAATACCCACTGGAGAGGAAGTACCCTGGAGAGGAAACTCCACCCAGCAATGCAGGTCAGCATCTTCTCTGCTGGGTCTTAGAGAGTGTCTGGAGCCAAAAGGTTATGTGACCTTTCCCTGGGACACATATCCAGGGTGGGTGGCAGTTGGGACTTGAGGTCAAGGGTTCAAGCTGCCCGTCTCCACTACACATTACCCCTCTTTTCGGTCCAGTTGGCTGCCGAGTTCTCTGAGCATTCACGTCAGCCTCTTCAGACGATTTTCCTGTTTATTCCTCAGTGGAGTTATTTCCGTTGGGTCATCCCATCCCTTGTGATCTGACTTCTCCTCTGACCCCTTTGAAATCTAGGGTGAATGTCAGACCACGTGAAGCTTTTCATTCCTACTCTTATCGTAGACTCCGTGAAGGCGCCTTGGCCTTTCCCCACAAAGTTCCCGTCCTTCATTTCGTTTCCTCTAGTCTGAGATCAGACCTTCCAAAGAGCATCCTGATGGGACACAGTGCTGGAATACTAGAACCGGTTCCCCACGTTCAGGTCATTATTAACTTCTACCTGGACAACTCTAACAGTTTCTTCACTGGTCCCTTCATGCCCAAGCTCCAATGCTGTACCCTACTGCCCTATTCCTCTTCCCCACCATGGCTTTCATAGAATCTCTCCAATGCTCAGCAACATTCAAAGGGTCCCCTAAATAGAGCTTCATTCCTTAGCCCGGCATTCAAGGCCCTCCATATCCAATTTGGCTTCTGGACAACTGTAGACTTATCGCTGCTCTTTCAAATTTTGTCAGTCTTGACCCTTGGACCTTCCTTTGTCTTACCTTTCTGCTCCTCCCCCCAAATGGCTTCTCTATCGATATCCTACCTGCCCCTTTTGAGGTCCGGGTCCAAAGCCACCTCCTCCCTAAGGGTCTCAGCTGGAAGGCGTGTTCCCCTTCTCTGAGTCCCTATAGCACCTCCTCTGGGCCTTTCACATGGCACGTCTCGTCCCCTGCCTTTTACTGTAGGTCCCTGTGTCCTCTCTTGATCTCTAGTAGCTTGGGAGCTTCCTGAAGGCAGGGACAGGTGTATCTGGTGTGTCTTTATATACTTAATGCCTGGCGCACAGTGGGTACTAGTCACTCACTGAACTAATGTTAAGGAAACAAAAGAGACCAGACAATTTCCTAGCCTTATAGGATACAGAGAAATTGGATCAGAGCTACAGGCAGCTAGGAGGTGCAGTGGATAGAGCACTGAGCCTGAAGTCAGGAAGACTCCTCTCCCTGAGCTCAAATCTGGCCTCAGACACTTCCGAGCTGCGTGACCCTGGGCAAGTCACTTTACCCTACTGGCCTCAGTTTCCTCATCCGTCAAATGAGCTGGAGGAGGAAATGGTAAACCACTCCAGTATCTTTGCCAAGAAAGCCCCAAATGGGGTCCTGAATAGTCTTATACAACTGAACAACAAATCAGAGATACACAGTGGAATGAGGCTGGGCTTCAGTAAGGAAGGGCCTGGATTGTACACCCACGGACAATCGCCTAGCTGCTCTGAGCTTCAGTTTCTTTTTTTATGAAGTAGGGACAACACCTGCAGAGCTTCCGGGATGGATGAGAGGACTGGATGACACATTACACACACACACAGACACACACACACACACCTGCAAGGCAGGACACATATATACACATACACAGACACACAGAGACACACATACACAGACACACACACACACACACTTGCAAGGCAGGAGACACACACACACAGGCACACACACACACAGACACACACACACCTGGAAGGCAGGACACATATACACACACACACACACACTTGCAAGGCAGGAGACACACACACACACACACACAATGTCTCAAAAGTCATTAAGCTACTGAAGCTTCAGGCTGCACTAAGACTTTGGGGACACCCTGTATATATTAAGTGCTTGGAAAGCCTCAAAGTGTTATATAAATGTCAGCTATCTAGTCTTATTTTTGTAGTCTAAGGCCACAGGTAGAATGTCAAATTACATATTCTCTTCAAATCTGTTCCTATCCACTAATTTTATGTTTCAGCTCTGAAAACACATACTCGGAACCCAAGCTGGAGAGTCCAACGCCATATTCCAAAGTGTACAGGCCTGCTTAAATTAGCAGGTTATTTTTAGGGTCTTTTTCAAAGACTAAAATATGCACAGTATAGAAAGGAAGAAAAGAGTCTAAATTAGACGCTAGGTATGGCTTCCCGAACTCCTCCGGGGCAGGCCTGCCTGTCCAGGTGGCTTCACGCCTCCTGCTGAAACATCTGGCAGTTGGCATGAGTTTAGGTGAAATGTCAGTTACATCTGCATTAGTGGTGGCACCGGTTGTGGACAGGAAGGAAGTACTTGTTTTAGGGAGGAGGCGGGGAATCATTAAAGGGTTCTGGGTGGCTGCAACAGGAGAGAATGGTATCACTGAGACTGATCACAGATGCAATCGCAGACGCTTGTTTCTCTAACTGCTTCTACGGGCATCATCCACGGATGGTAAAAACATGGCAGGCTAACTTAAGGTAGTCGAATTAGACTGGGCTCGAAGAACACAGCTGACTTCTCAAGTCTGTCTGGGGGATGGAACTGAGGGGAGACAGGAAGAAAGCAGCCAGGCTGAGCTGTGGGAAGAGAGCAACCCAATGCCTCTCCAAAAGCACCACCTTCAGGTACGTGCTCCTTCCCTAAATGGGGCAATTATATGAAACACTTCCCATCCTCTTTTTCTGTCCCTCAGTTGTATACTGCTAACGCCAGCTGAAGGAGCTTGGAAGCGAGCCCCTCATAACCGTGCCTGGCTGAGGCAGGGGGCCAATGGGCAGCTCTTTCTTGCTAGTGACTGGACACTCTCTCAGAACCCAACATGACCGTGTCTGGGGCTGCAATCTACCATGGATCTTGGAGTAAAGAATGATACCGTTCTGAGCTAATGACTCCCATAAAACCCATTCCTTCTTAGGACTGCCTATGATCTCTTTCACTCAAATTTCTCAATTCTATGGAAAGGAGGTTCGTGTGAGCAGATACAAATATTGTAACCCTACTTGAAGGACACCCCTGAAACAGAGCTGGCTTTCTATTCAGGAAGGGGAGCCTGAGACAACAAGCCATGCTATACTCCAGTGTAGCTGCAGCCCTCCTCTCCAATGCCTCAGCCCAGTGCGGAGGTGACCCTCAATCTGACTGATGACATCAGTGATACCCAAGTCCTTCACGAGCAATGGCCCACTGCTGCATCTGCAACCTGAAGGCCGTCCAGCTAGACTCAAGGTGTCTATAACCTTAAAATCAAGTCCTGGGTCAGACATTTTACATCTGGGTCAAAATGATCCATGAAGGCAAGCTACAAAGGGAGGTGTGAGGGGCCAAAGTCCTCATCAGGACCCTGGGAGAGCCCACACTGGTGAAATTTCAGACCCTTCAAGGATTAAGCAGGTGACTAACTGACAGTAGGTTGGCAGCACAATCTTCATCTATGAATGACAAGACATTCTGTTCCCTCTCTGCTGTTTTATCTCATGTTCTCCACGGAGCCTCCTCTCCCTTCGCCAAGACAAGTTATAAATGGTTTGCTCTTCACCACGTGGACCCCTTCAGGGCGACAACTACTTATCAAGGCAATGATAAATGCAATTAATTTTTATTATCCTTAGCCCTGCCTACTCTCAGATAAAACTAAGTCAGGATCATAATTCAAAAACTTTCTCCCTCGACCTTCCTTTGTCTGCATAAAACTATTGACAGCAACAGAATCCCAACTCTTTTCAGTGATACTAAAAAAGGTGATGTAATCTTCACTTTCTCCTCATGGCTCCAGTCCTTCTCTGATGCCTAATGATGCTTTGGAAGCTACAACACAGTGGAACTCAAATCCACAGAGGTCCAACCCCAAGCCAGAAGTTCTCTGAATACAACAATGATATTCAACTTAGCACAAATGTATTAGGAACCTATCACATGCCCAACCCAGTGACAGGCGATGGAGACACAACGACAGAGATGAAAACAGTCCCAGCCCTCCAGGAATTGACACTCTAACACCCAGTATGTCCAGGGTTCAAAGAGCAGCCTGCCTAGGCCTGGAGAAGTTTGTCAGTCAAGAGTCGGCTACCATGTGAAGTGTTTTCAAGCTCCAGCTACCCAGGAAGACCATCAGCTAACGGGAAGGGGCTGTGCTGAGTGCAGTGAAATCCGGCCCTTGAAGGACGTGAGTGCGTGCCTGTCTTCAGAGAAGACAGAGAGGTCTCTTGTGATATGAGAGAAGACAAACAAAATGGTGTCAGTATGACCTACCCATGGTACGGCATTTAAACAAAGCTTCAGAAACCTCCTCCGTGCTTCCTACAGCTCCACTAACCTTTGTACCCATTACGTAAACACAGTTGAGCCTATGATAGGAAATGTTAGCTTTTGACATGCACGAATCTGGACTTATTTGGGGCTGCACAGCCCAAAAGGTTAACTGCTTACCATCATGGCTGCTGGAGAAATAGCCTCCTCTCATGTAGGATGACTGGCAGTTAGGCACTTCTGAAAGCAAAGCACAAAGAGGGATCAGTCGTGCAACAGAATGGAAATGTTCATTTGACAGCTGAATCCTGTGGGGGTGTGTGACAGGGAGCTGGCCTCTTAAACCACCTGTTCTACACAAGGACAGGCCTTTTCAGTCCCACGGTGGGAACCACGCAAGCACGAATCCCAGCGCACAACGTGGGAAATCGACAAGGATGGTCAGCCTTGGCAGACAGGAGTAGAAGGGCAGGGGAGAGTCGAAGATCTTAGGTCTCTGCTTGGGGTTCGTAGTTTCCTTCCCATTTAACTGTGCCAAAGAGAGAAATCTGGGCATCAGAGGCAGTCCTGGACAAACAAAAGGTCAAGTGGAGGGTCCTGAGAGTGCCAGCGGCCCACCCCGGCAGGGAGGTGAGAGCAACTTTATTACTATCTATGGAAACGGCTACATCAGATTAATACACTTCATTTTTAAAGTGTCTAACAGTCTGGGGGAGGGGAAAGAGAATTTAGAACTCAAAATCTTAGGGAGGTGAATGTTGAAAACTAAAAATAAAGAAAGAAAATGCAAAAAAAGTGTCTAATAGTAAGAAAAAGAAGCAAGCTTTGCAATCCTTATGGACTGCTTGAAAAGTCTCCCCATCTGCTCCATCTGACTGCCCATGTTCACATTCAGAGGTCAAAGTATTTTTAGACCTAAAGAGATTATGGGATTTAAAGACAGGCCTAAAGCTAGCAAGACTGAAGAGATTTGGAGGGTCTGGCAAGGATATTGCCACCATCTTCTAAGAGTATTAAAGTGAACCAAGAGTTCACGAAAGCACCGTTTTCTTTGGAGAGCTCCTGACCACACTGTCCATCAGTAACAAAGGCAGATGACCCTGCCCATGCTGTGTGTGCCAGCTCCTACCTCCCCACTCTCCAGGCCACCACAATCTGGCTCAGACTTGAGGAACGTGGATCTGGCAACTTGCCTATCTTAACTTTAAATTGTCTGAAAATCCATTTGAGAAACAAGACTAGCTGAAAATATCTGCTTCCCAGGTCCCAGGAGGAGCTACTCTGAGTCACAGGAACTCCCAGAAGCACCATCAAAAAGGGCTGGGTGAGAATTGTCATGGAAATCTGAGAGTGACAAATGCCCCACCCTGGGGTTTTTTGTTTTTCTGATCTGAAGCAGCCAGCGCCCTGACTGGTTGATGTTTCACTCCTCCTAACAGGTGCCTGACATGTGCTAAACTTGATCAGGGGGAGGATGGCAGAATGTTCTAGTTCTTCCACCAGGCCCCTCAAGGAGAAGCTGGTCCACTCTGCCTTAGGCAGCCTGGGCCAGCGAGGGCACAAGGAGGTCAGGGCTAGTGCAGACGCCACAGCCTCTGAAACGTCCCATCCTCCAGCTCCCCCTCACGAGGTCTGGGGGCAGAGCAGAATGGAGCCCCCAGCTGTCTAGGGCAGAGAAGGAGAAAGGGGAGAAGACAGCCAAGAGGCAAATTCCAGTCCCTTCTTTCCAAAAGGGCTCACTTCATGCCACTTGCCAAAGTGGGTCACACAGGTGCATTTTCAAATGTGGGCTGGGTTCTAACATGCTTATTTAAGCGGAAGGTTTAACAATACTTTCTATAACTCAACACCAATCTTTCGGTTGCTTTCCCAGGCCACATCTCTGAGGCGTGTGACTGACTGGCTCTGGGAGATCACTGGAACTTTTTTCCAGGTAGGAGGCATCACAACAGACTGAACAGAGGCATCGAAAAACAACCAACGATGTATGTCTTTCCAAGGAGAGCTAGGATACCTGCAGCTCTGAATTACAGATCACTCTCAGAAAACCTCTCATTATAAAAAGGAGAAATGATACATTGAATAGCGAATCTCTCTTTCGAAAAGCTATTTTGAGACCCTCAAGAGTTTGGTGGATTCCAGCGGACTGCCACTAAACTGGGAACACGGCTACAAGCAATAATGAAATACACCTCATTGTACTGCTCAAAGGCCTACTCGATTTTGGAAATGGCTTCCTAAAAATTAGATCCTAAATGAGCTTTTATTTGGGAACACCATGTGTCACCATGGCATCCTGCAGGGAGGTCCCTGAGGGACCTGGTGGAGGCCTCACTGGGGTGACCCTGACCCGCTTCTTTCCTTTCCCTGGCCTGTCTGTCATCCAAACCACCAGGGGATACGAGGGGTAGAACCACCCGCATCTGAAGCAGGCAAGGCCGCAACCTCAGGATCTGCAGGTGAACCTGGCCCAGGTGCATGCAGGGCCAAGGACAGAGAGGCTTGGTCCAGACTTGCCGCTGGAACTGGAATTTACAGCTTCTCCATTTTCTGAAACCCTCTGCCATGCTCAATTAGAGTATTTCTTCTTTTATGATAGATGCCGTTTCTCTCACCTCCCTTCCCATTTGGGGAGGCTGAAGAGGGGGACTCTTGCTCTTGTGGGAGGATGGACTCTAGCCGTGACCCCACAGTTTGAGAAGCACTGAAAGGGTCGCAGGTGGAGAAAGTTTATGGATCCGTAGACTAGGCCATCGCTAAAGTTCTCTTCCAAGGTAAGTATTGTCTCCTTCTGTTATGGCAGGTGGCCTTCCCTATGCAGTTACTTCTCTGAGTGTCTTGTCTCACCTGCTAGATTATAAACTCCTTGAGGGGAACAGATCTAGTCTCCCCCTGTCTCCTCAGTAGGCCTCAGTCAGGACATCACCCTCATGATAGCATCGGTCTTCTCTGATCAAACCATCGCCGCCCCCACCAAGCCTTAGCACAGTGCCTTGCACCCAGCCAGTGCTCAGAAACTGTTCTTGGAATGGATGGCCTCATACAAACCTGAATCAATGCAGTAATCCCTGGGCTCTTGCTTGATGCCCATTGGTGACTGGTAACCACGTGCTGGCGGCACTCCGGGTATGCCTGCAACACCATGCTCGTAGAGAGGGTCAGGATACTCTTGTTTGAATCCCTGAGGTGGTGGGGGAGCCGCAGGGACAATGGGCTCAGACATCTGTCGGTGGTACCCTGGACGACTGTCACCAGGAGGGAAGGGGTGGCAGGGTTCAGACATCTGTCTCTGAAACCTGGAGGAAGAAGGAACAGTCATCCTGCACAACTAGAGGTATCATAAAAGGACACGACACACGGCACATGGAAGGAGCAGACTTCAAACCCTAACACCGCCTGGCTTTGGGCCCAGGATGAGGAAATGTACAAGGCGGGGTGTTGCCTCGGGAGTGAATGGTCTCTATCCTTTACGAACATGATATGGTGCCTAATTTTCAACCTCTCATGCCTAGAGGAGGAAGGATCAAAGCTTTCTTGACAACACTGGTGTATAACCTCTCAACTTTCTATGAATGGTTTTTCCCACACCTGGCATACTGCTCTGCCAATCAGATGCATGGGTCTTCACATTTGCAAACTCTACTAACCTATAAATTCACACGCACTCCTTTCCAGCAGGTATTGAGTAGCCAAAATCCCAAATCTTCTAAAACCAGAGAATATGAAACAGGGGCCAGCCTACTGCGTGCAAAGCATGTTGATGTGTACTGTGCTTAAAGGAAAATGGGTACGAATATGGGCACAGCAAGTAGATAGGAGTTGGGGCACACAGCAACTTGGAGAATATAATGCAATTAATTTTGAAAAAGGTTTAAGAAAACAACAAAAAGAGTCCTTAGAGAACCTGTCACAAGTTTTAGAAGGAAAGCTGAATCCAACCAATCAGTGGCAGCGGACCACTATGCCTGGAGTTAGGAAGACCTGAATTCAAATCTGACCTCTGATACGTGACCTCGGTTGTGTGATCCTGGGTGAGTCACTTAATCTCTGTTTGCCTCAGTTTCTTTAATGGTAAAATGGGGAGAATAGCACCTACTGCCCAGAGTTGCTACAAAAAACAAATGAATTATTATTTGGAAAACAAAATGCTTACCAGTGCCAGGCACAGAGTAGGCACTATATGAATAAGTATTCCCTTCCCTTTCCCTGTGGCTCTGATCTGGTCACTATTTTTCCCCCAGTATCTTTAAGAAATAGATGGCATGCTTGACAAATGGCAAATGACCCAAAGTGAGGAGAGATTGCTAACACACCAGAGAGACCTTGCCAGGTGGTAAAACAAAAGGCTGAGGAGAACCAGCTTACATTTAATAGGGACAAATATGAAACTCTAAACTTGCGTTCAGACAGGGAGACAGCCCATCGAGGCTTGGGGTCAGCAAGCTATAGTCGAGGGCCAACATTTTTTTTCCATCTTTTATACAATAAAACATTATTTAAAAATGTAAAAACCATTGTGAGGCCATTTGGCCTGGGAGTAGTTCCATGACCCCTGGTCTAGACAATTTTTCACATAAAAAAGACCTGTAGGTTGGAGCTGACTGAAGGAAGCGCGGGGGTACCAATAGAAAGGCAAGGTGGTGTTCCATGGGGAAGATTTCAGATGCGAGCCAGGTAGCGGGGTCCCTGGCTCCACGGGGTAGCAGGAAGCAGACGTGAACGCCTTTTAGTATCATCTCCTCCAATAAAGTCATGTCAGTTTCTAAGGCTGACCCACTTGACAGTGCCAAGGCCTTCCTTCTCTGGGTCCTCACTGTGGTTGCAGGCCCTGCAGCAGCCATCCCCAGGCTGCATCTCCACAGGGGCTGCAGAAAGTGGGCTGGCAGCCTGGCTATTTCCAAGGCTCTTGGCTTCAGGCTACTGGGCTGCCTCCATTTGGGTCTGAGGGAAGATGCCAGTCAAGGCGCTGGTGGGGCTTAACTTGGCTGGCACAAGCTGCCTCCTATCTCCCTCAGGGGTCCCACTGCTGTACCTATGCTGACACACGCCTTATGTGGAGCAGTTGGAAACTGAGAAGCACAAATTCTAGAATGAGAGAGGCTGGTCCTACCCACCTCACACCGTCTGGGGTGGACAGGGTCTAGATCGGGAGTCCTGAACCTGGGGTCGAGGAACTCGTTTTTAAAAATATTTTGAGAATTGCATTTCAATATAATTGGTTTCCTCTGTAATCCTATGGATTTCATGCACTTGAAAGAATGACTATGAGAAGGTGTGAGTCTGGAGGCTTCACTAGACTGTTGGCAAAGGGGTACGTGACCCAGAAAAAGTGGTGAATCTCTGCTCCAGAGGATGACAGCCAGGAGAGGGAGGGGCCGTGAAACCCTGACAGAAGAGGCCTGGGGAAGAAGCAGAGAGCTTTGGCAGAGAGCAGAAGACTGTCGAGGGGACAAGGAAGCCTCGCTCTGCTTGGTTCCAGACAACAGAACTAGAAGCAATGGGTGGAAAACTAGAGGATCAGGTTTTGTGATAACATAGGGAATATTCTAGAAACAGAGAACTGATAATAGCTAATAATACTAGCTAACATCTATATAGTGCTTACTATGTGCTAAGCACTTTACAATTATTATCTCATTTAATCCTCATAAGAACCCTGGGAGGGAAGTGCTATTGTTATCCCCATTTCACAGATGAAGAAACGGAGGCAGACAGCAGTAAAGTGGCTTGTCCAGGGTCATACATCTAATAAGTGTCTGAGGCCAGATTTGAGCTCATGAAGACAAGTCTTCCTGACTCCAGGTTCTATGCACGATGGCGCCACCTCAAGATCTAGAACGTGAAGGAACCTCAGAGAACACCTAGTCTAACCCCTCATTTTTACAGATGAGCAAATTGAGGCCCAGGGAAGGTAAGTGACTTGCCCAAGGTCACGCAGGTAATGAGCATCAGAGGCACCTCTGATACTGGTGCCAGACTGCTTTCCGTCCCTATGAGCGCTGTCCAAAGTGGGAATGGGTTCCCGCACTCCAGGAGCTGTGAGCTCGTGCCTCCTGGGAGGTTTTCTCACCATTGTTTTCTTCATCTGTAAAACAGGACTAAGACTGGTGAGTCCAGGGCTTTGTGACCCCAAAGCACTAGAGAAACATGGGTTCATCTCCTTCATGCTGGAGGCCGTGCTGCTGATACAGGGTATGGAAGCCCTGGGTCACCCCAGGTTTGGCTCAATGACCCGTCCAATCCTGAGACGCTAGAATTTCACTTAAAAAACGCATTTTTCAGGTGAGTGTGCCGGAAAGAAGGGCCTGCTGGTTACGTGGCAGTATCCGGCGCATTTACCAAAATGCTGTCAGCGCCAAAAACGTCATTTTAGAACATGGACAATGGGAGCAATACGTAGCCGATGGATCACACCCACGTCAGTGGGGACTGGGCCGAAGGCCAGGGGTCGAGGGGGTCGGCGTTGGGGGGGTCACGGCCCTCTCCAGGTGGGCCACCTCCACAGCTATCTCCATGTACGGCAGTCTCTTAATGGGCTCTGAGGGCACGTTCGTCTGAAACCTGAGTTTCAAACGTCTGACGCTGAGCGTGGGCACGGCGTGACGTGAAAGGGGTTTTCAAACAGGGAACAGGGACGAGCCAGAAAAGGAAGAGTTTTTCCTAAGGCCCTTCGCCACTCTGGAGGGTGAGGACGCGCCTTTACTCTCTCTCCACATGTTCCGCTCCCCTCGCTGTCCTCCACCCGCCCGCCTGCCTCCTCCAAACACCGTGAAAGGCACTTTCTATCAATCAATTGCTTCTGATGGCACTGAGACGTCCCTGGTCCCTGTGGCCTGTAACCAGAGTCTTTGCAGCTGACAGGCCCAGATTACTGGACTTCCGCTCTGTGTCCATCTCCCCTTCCAGGATGAAACCCTAGAGCCCGGCTGGTACGGCCCTGTCAGGAAAAGGCGTTTTCAGGTGGCCGCCAGCCAGAAGTCCCTGAACTCGACTTGAAGGTGGCTTAGAGATCAGATGCCTCTTCACTACCGCACGGATTCTACAGCTCAGGCCATTCAGGAACAGCATGTTGGGAGAGGGATGGAGGGAAAGGTAAAGGGCAAGGGAGAGCATGGAACACCACCATATTCAGGAGTGAGCTTGACGCCGACAAAGGGACTGGCTCGATCCCCCATCCTTGAGCTCGGCAGACATACCCTGACCTTTGCGTGAACTCTCCCCCTCCCCACAGTCCTGGGAAGGGTCTCGAGTGTGTCCTGTGTGTGACACGAGGACGGCAATGACTCCTCTTATTTATGGAGGCCCTTCCTCCAGCAGAACCCCGCCATCCTGAGGCCACCTCCTACCAGGAGCGAGCCCAACTGCAGAGTTACAGCCGACGGCTGCTTCGCTATCCGTTTATTTAAGGAATCAGTTATTTGTTTGTCAGATTTCTATGGCGCCTCCCTCCGAAGAGCTCACCCACGCTACCAACATTTGGTTTACATTAAGAAAGCCGCCAGATGCTTTTTCTGCATTTCCTTTACTCTGATCGCTGCCAATACACACAGTCAACACAATGCTCATGGCAAAAATGGGAGAAGCGTGTGTTAGATGAAAATGTTAGCGGGACGGCACAAAAACCCTGGGGGCCACCCCCCAAGTCAGCGGCAAGATAACCATTAAGTCCCCCAAGAAACCAATACCATTTAATGCTTTCGTTAGGGTCACAAAGGAAGGGGCAAAAACAAAAAAGACGTGCCAAAAATAAGGCAGCTCTGAAGGAAAAGAAGGTGTATAATGAATATACAGACTACATACAGTAAGACAGAGGTGGGATTAAAGCTACAGGCAGGGGAATTGCAAACCACATTCATCATTAAAAAAAGCCCCAGAGAAGAGAAGTTGCCAGACACCATCTATGACTTCCTATTACTGTTTACTCTTCTCTGGCCATAGGACTTAGAGATAAGCCATTGTAAAAACAAACAAACAAACAAAAAAAAACAATAAAAGCCTCAGGCCTGAACTCCAAGAAGCCTCTTCAGCACGGCTTACCAACCCCACCTAGATTCAATTTTGCCTTTCCATAAAATATTAAAAGGTCTGCAAAGATAACATCCTCCTAAGGCTTAAGGAATGTTTAATCGATTTCTGTAGTTCAAACACAGGAGCAGCAAGGTGATCAAGGGTGTAGAGATGTTAGCATGTTATTTGAAGGCTTGGATATACAATGCATCTATTGATAAAGCAGAATAGCAACAGGAAAGATCAGGGATTATTTAAGTTTAAAAAAACTCCACAAAAAACAAATTCC